TTTTTAATTTTCTCTGTTCTTTGATTCAGCACATACAAACTCTGGAGCTAATCTCCCAAACCTCCCTTCTAACTACAAGGTCAGGTACCCAGAATAAGATTCATACTTGTCCCTCAGAGTCTTAGGGTAGCCCTGAGAGGTTGGGGGTAGAGTGTTTAGTTCTGTAGCTCAGGAGCCCCCCATAGTGATTTCCTCCATGATTATCACTGAGTATCAACTAGTCAGGCAGACAATTAGCTTTTAGAAAGGGCTATTTTTTAATGATTCTATAATAAGAATAGTAGGTATAAAGCATTCCCCTAAAAGTCTGTGACACTTTCCTATCAGTACATACAAATTTCAAGGGAAAGAGGGCTCAAAGTTGCAGAGCATTTAGCAAAGGGCTAATTCATAGATTTTGAAGGTCCTTTTGCTAGAGGCTTCATAGTGTTCCCCTTAGGAATGGTGTAGTTTTCCTAGTTTTTGTTTTTCCTTGCTGGATTCACTGTTTAACTTAGAAAATGTGACCAGTCTATCTATGGCGTGTGATGCAGAAAATGTCACCAGCTGCTAATGTTCCAGGAAGATGGTAGTACACTTAATCCTCTAACCTGCCAGAGTTTACAAGTTCCTTCTCCAACCAGGGGGAGGGTGGAGAAGGGACTGAGGTACTCCCTCTCTCTACAAGTGGTTCATTTTCAAGAATTAGACTGCCTGACCCACTCAAATTTCTTGGGTTCTGAACAAGCTCCTGGTTTTATACAGTCCCCAAATGATGAAGGGTCTTGAGTCCACTGCATATGAGAATCAGTTGAAGAAATCAGGTATGTTTCACCTGAAGAAAAGAAGACTTGGGGGATATGTTAGCTGTCTTTAGGTATTTAAAGGGCTGTCATATGGAAGAAAGATTAGATTTGTTGTCTTTGGCCCCTGAAAGCAGACCCAAGAACAGTGGGTGGAAGTTGTGAAAAAGGCCTGATGTCAGGAAAACTTCCTAACAATTGGAACAACAACAAAAGCAGAATGAGCTGTCTCAAGAGGTGGTGAGTTTCTCCCTCTTGGAGGATTTGGATAACCACTTCTCAGCTATATTAGAGTTGGATTCCTTTCATGTATGTGTATGTATGTGATGGATACTTAAGTTTCTTCCAACTCACAAATTCTTAAAAGAAAAATAATCCTAACTTGCCTGGGGGAGAAACAAGGGGGGAAGGAAGGGAAGAACAGGAGAAGAAAGGATAAGATATTGCTACTACTACCTATAAGAATATGATAGTAGTTACTACTACTCAAGTTCTCTGTTAATGTGTAGTTATGAGCCTTTTGTGTTACAGTAATTCTCATGTGTAGGAAATAAACATCTGTCCCATACTTGAAGGAAAAAAAAGGTACAAAAAAAAAATCAGAGAATAGTCACAAGTGAAACTAATTACACTTCTGAAGATAGATCATAAAGGGAGGATTAAAAAGAAAAAAGTTAAGAACCAGAGATTGGGCCTAACTTAGTGAAGCAAGGAGGAGTGAAGAAGTGGGAACAGACCACTTAAATTACTAATTTACTAGTGTTGAACACATTCCTTTTCTTTCTCTACTCCTTTTTTCTTTGTAAAGAAGGAGAAAAAAGGAGAGAAAAAAAAAGAAGTTATTGATGTAATCTAGCCACTGCCCCCAGTCCCAATCTAGACAGTACCCCCACCCCTAGTATCCCAACTTCCTCATATGCTTCACTAGAATAGCAGGTGTGCCCATGTTTTCAACCACATCATCCATTTTGCCCCAGACAGGATCACAATAGCCAACCAATCAGAAAGCATCACCAACAGGACATTGACCAGGATGTTTGACCACTAAATCACAGCCTAAGTGGATGCCTGTGCAGTAAGAGCAAAGAAATGTCCTAAGGTGAACTTATGATGTAGAGAAGCTTATCGTAACACCATTATCATACATATATACCCCCCAAAGTGGGCTTTTCTGTATGAACTATGGGTAGCTCATGCATAGCTCCACCAAGACTAAGGCCCCTCCCATATCAATAAACTCTTATATTTTAATATTCATATATTCTATAATGATGTAATTGCATCTTTTGCTCTATAAAAATCTCTGCCTTGCTTTGATAAGCGCTGGTTCCTTCTTGGAGCCGAGCTCACTTTCTGAGAGGTGTAATTCTCAATAAATGCCTTTGCTTGGGTTGGAGATGGTCTGAGTCTGTGAATTCCTTTGAGACGACCCCACAACAAACCTTGAACCTCAAGAGTTATAATGGAGAGAAATACAAAGTTAACCATCAGAACAATAAATGAGAGTAAGATGAACTCATCCATAAAGTAGAAGAGTTTAGTAGGATGATTAGAAAGTCAAATCTAACCGCATGTTATTTATGTTTTAAGAAACACTTGAAGCATAAAGATCCCGGGTAAAATGAGGGACTAGAGCAGAATTTATTATATTTTTGGCAAATGTTTAAAAGTAGGGGTACCTATCATGATCTAGTAATAAAAAAATACTGAAATGAGATAAGCAGGGAAACTATATTATGCTTAAAGGCACAGCATCTGAGTACTTGAAGGAAAGGGATAAATTTGTTTGGGGGGGGGTAAGGCAATGGAGTTAAGTGACTTGCCCAGGGTCACACAGCTAGTAAATGTTACGTGTCTGAGGCTGGATTTGAACTCAGGTCTTCCTGAATCCAGGCCCAGTTCTCTATCCACTGTGCCACCTAGCTGCAGGAAAGGGATAAATTACAGGGGAAAAAAGGAAGCAAAACTATAAGGATACTCCAATATGCTCCTTTCAGACACAGATAAATGTAAAAGAGAAAAGCGTCAATGAATCAATAAAAACATAAACAGAAAAGAGCCAAAGGCAGTTCAGAAAGATAGATAGGCTGCACAGTGTTGAAACTACCATATTAAATTCAAAATATTCTTTATAAAGCCAAGCTGTACATAATGGAGATTCATGGTTTCTTATGCTGTCCTTTTTTCCATTCTTTGTATGGGGGAAATATTTATGTCTATCTCATAATAAATAAAAAGAAAAATTACAAAAATGAGAGGGTTAGAGTTGATGAACTTGAATTTCCCTTCCTGTGTTAAATCTTTGATTCTTATGACTTTATGACTTTATAGGTAGTTTGGCATAAAGGAAAGAACATTGAATATCATTGAGTCTTGGCTTTTATATGTGCTGTAAGGCTATGATCAAGTCATTTAGCCTTACAGTTTCCTTATCTACAAAATGGAGATAATCATGTCTATCCTATTTACCTATTTACACTGATATGAGGAAATGTGCTATTATGTCTCATTGCGTGGGTAGGCTCTGACAATCTACAATGGATATGTGAATACTTCAATGTGGGTATTTCCTTCATTAGTGTAGGTTGTAACTGTCTCTTCCTCCTCCTTCTCTACCCCCAACTCTGGGTTTTGTGATGGTAAAAAGCTTGGGATAACTGACTGATATGTGAACTTTGGGTAAGTAAATGAACTAGCATATAAAATTATAATGGATATGACTTTTGGATAAGTCATGTAACCCCTGGGTCCTCATATATTCACTCAAAATAATTTCATAAATTTAATAAAATTGAAGTGTTGAAAATCAAATCATTTGAACAGTTTAAAAATAATTTTCCTTAAAATAAGAATAGGGAGGAAATGAGGGTATAGGTATGAGTGTGTGTAAATTGGGGGGGGGGGGTGGCAAGGTATAATTACAAAGAAAAAAACTTCACCTATGTTTAAACACAAGTATTAATCTAGTCCATGACATTTTACATACACAACAATGAGTTATGTGCTAAGTGTTGTGGGCCATAAACGGTAAAGGTTCACATAATACCCAGAGCAAATATGGCACATGTTCATAATTAAGTTCTAAACTATGTGATTAAGGATTTAGTGTTTGTTGACTAAATGCTCCAGGGGTGGGGAACCCGAGGCCTTGAGGCCACATGTGGTCTTCTAGCTGTTTGGCCTTTTGACTGATTCCCAAGTTTTACAGAACAAATCCTTTTATTAAGGGGATTTATTCTGTAAAGTTTGGATTCAGTCAAAGGGCCGAGCTTGAGGACCCAGAGGGCTACATGTGGCCTGGAAGCCTCAGGTTGTCCACCCCTGCCTGAGGAGGTCAAAGAAAAACCTGGATCAACTTGGGCTACAGTAGTCTCAAGAGAGATGGAGGGATGAGTATTTTTAGCAAACGATACTCATTTTAAAAGTCAGAATACTGGTTTAAGTGACTTACCTAAAAGTCACATATGTATTTATTGGTATAGCTTGGCCTCGACCTTTGTTCCCTGTGTAAAGTTTTTTCCCATAAATCTACACTGTTGGGATTTCCTCAAGGTCCATCTGGAGCAAAGGTCAGCGAAAACTACAATCACTGTATCTATGCAATGACAATTGTCTTAGATTTCCAATACTGTTGGGTGAGGCCACCCAGAAGCCTCTGCAAACGATGCCTTAAATTACTTACGTAAAGAGGGGCTAACCTCGGGTATTAGAGTTCACCTCAGAGTTGGTCTGGTTGCATCTACACATTTTACACATTAGGGAGCTAAGGCTCACTCAAGTCTGCAGCTGTATTACAAGCCCTGCCCTCCCTGGGCTAACAGTCGGCCGGGCTTTGCCAGGGCTGGGGAATAACGGGCCTTTACGACCTCATAACGGAAGGGCGGGGGTAGCATTTACTCTCTTCTAGGGAACCAGAACGCGAATGAGCGAGCGGAAGCATCGGCCTCCACTCTTATGTGGACTTTAAGGAAAGCTTCCGATTAAAACCCCCCGTTAAACGGTTCCTCCGTCCGCTTCGGGCCAGAGCCAAACGTTCCGCCTCTCACAGAGAGCCCACCCTGCGGCCAGGCAACGAACGAATGAAGCCACCGAAGTCACGTGGCGGCCGGCCAAAAACAAAGCCGCGGCGCCTCGGTCGCCTTCCGGACCCCTCCTCTTCACGTGACCAGCGCTTCCGTTTCCGTAGTTTCCCGGTGCTACAGGCTTTTGTGTCCGGGCTGGCGGGAGGAGTACGGTGGTGCCTCCTGCTGTCACCCGCGGGGCTTGGCCTGACCATCCCGTCGCTCTCCTTTCCACTACGGTGCCCGGGGCCTCCGCCTTTTACTCCCCGCAGCGCGACAGTCATGAGTCTTCCTGAGCAGCAGCAGCCGCCGCAGCTGCCCCCGCAGGACCTGGCCCCGCTGGAGCCGCCATCCCTCGGCCCGGGCTTGGGGCCGCCCGCAGTGAGTACGTAAGGCGGAGTGGAGCGGGGGGCAGGTGGGCCTGCAGGGCGCGGCTCTGGGGGTCCGAGGCCTGGGCTGCCCAAGGCCCGCGTGGTGTGTGGGGCCGAGAGCGCAGCATCAGCCAGCTTTCGAGCTCCCTCATTTTACGATTGAGGAAACTGAGGCCCAGAAATGACTTGCTTGAGGTCAGGCGGGTAATGAGCCTCAAAGATGGGGTTGAAGCCCGGATCCTCCGACTCCAGAGTCACTGCTCTCTCTGCTGCAGGGTCTGAAGGTTTGCCTCCCTCACTCCTGCCGGGGTGCTTGTGAAGTCTGCTGGAGAAAGCCACCGTGCTGTGACATTTTTGCATGATGAGGGACCTGAGCTCTTAAGATCACTTTGACTTCTTCACATGTATCCTCTGGCCCGAGCCAGGCTTACTGTGTCTGAATCTAGAGCTAAATTAAACACTTCTCATCCTCTTCCCCCCAAAAAACAACAACAGCAGCAACAAAAAAACCAACCCAAAAAAACAAAAACAACTCCAAACTCTACAAATTTATTTTGTCTAATACCAGTTAGGCTTCATTGTTGTTTGACAAGTCTTTTTTAATTTTAGATTTTATTTTTTCATTGTGAGCTTAACAAACAGCCACAAACACGGATAATTCCATGTATTCTTCAAAGAACCAAGAAAGAAGGTTGAACATGAAACCAATCTCTATTAAGTACAACTTTTTTAAAAAAGCATACATTAAGATTGACATGAGAGCACTACTACTACCTTGCTTGTCTGAGTCCCCGTCTGAACTTTCCTCTGCTCTCTTTTGCAGTTTGTTTGTTTTTGGACATATTATTTACTCACTGAGAGTCTCTTTTTTACACCACTATCACTACCCATCCATACCTCAGAACAACTACAACTACTCCCCCCCCCCCCCCTAAGTTCTCCCTTATTTTTACCAAGATGGTCAAGCAAAACAAATTCATTTATTTTTTTCTTTCCTGATTGATTCTCTCATGCTTCCCACAGCAACTATTCCAAAATTCCTCTTTCCTCAAATCCATTATGTCACTCCTTCCCTCTTCCCTCATTGGAAGGCCTTGCATCTTACTTTCCTAAGAAAACAGGTCATTTATCTTGAACTGCTTTCTCTCCTATTCTGCCTATCCACCATCCTCCGTTCTCTCCACCTCTTCTCCATTCTCTGACCAAGGGTGACTTTTCTTGCCAACTCTGCTACTTTTTACTTGATCTCCCTCCTGTCTCCTCTGGAGTTTGCCCCTTTGATGTTTCTCTCCTCTTTTTTTCTCTCCTTTTGCACTGGCTCCTCTACTGTTTACAAGTATGCTCAGGTCCCCCATTCTTAACTGTTCACTTGACCTTGCCATCCCCCCAAGCTTTTTTTTTTTTTAAACAGTCAAACTCCTAGAAGGAGTAGTAGAAACTCAGTCTCTAGTTCCTTACTACCAACTCACTTCTCAACCCTTTCAACTCTAGTTTGTGACCCCATTACTCTGTTCAAAACGATTCCTTTAAGGCTACTAACAGGCTCTTGACTGCAAAATTCAATTGTTTTTTACCTTTTATAGCTTTTTCCACTGTTAAATGATCCTTCTTCTTAGATATACTCTCTCCTCTCTTGGCTTTCTTGATGTAGTTCTTAATTTTCTCTAAGCTGTCTGACCTTTTGCTGGATCATCATCATCATCATTGTCAATCATCTGTATCCTGCCCACTAAACATAGATGTCCCCCAAAACATTGTCCTGGGTCCTTATAGGTGATTTCAAATTCTCATTGCGTAACCTCTCTTCCAAGTTTCATTTGTGTATTTCCAACTTTCTGTTTAATACTTCTCTATATCCAGCTGTCACCTCAAATTTAACAATGACCAAAAGCAAATCATTCATTTACCACTTACCTGACGTTTCAAAAATCTGTCCTTCTGATTTTTCTCTTAAAATACTACCATCATTCTCCCAGTCATCCAGACTCAAAACCTTAGCATCATCTCTGAACCAAGGTCTATAGCTTCTGTTTTCACTGTGTTGTCTTTGGTATCTCTCACTTTCTGTTTTCACTGTCATCAACCTAATCCAGCCCTTTATTGCCTCTTGCAAGGACTTTAAGTCTCTTTCCCTTTCTATCTATCCCACACATTTAACATCTAATAATTCTAAAGCATAACCCTGGTAATTTCGCCCACCTGCTCATAAACTTGGTTCTCCACAGGCAAATTTGGATCTTGTCCAAATTCCATAGCTTAGCATTTAAGACTCTTCACAATAATCTTGTCTCAGCCCATCTTTGTTAGACTTCCTTTCTGTGATTGTCGTACTTGTGGCCTGGGCTCCAGGCCAACTAGACTGCTCTCTCCTTTCTAAACACAGCTAGGCTTTTTCTGTCATTACTACTTTTGCTTTCATGTTCCCTTTACTTGGAATGGTTTAACTGCTGAATCCATTTGTTGTTGTTGTTTCAGTGGTGTCTAACTCTTCATTATCCCGTTTGGAGTTTTCTTGGCAAAGATACTGGAATGGTTTTCCGTTTTCTTCTCCAGCTCATTTTACAGATGAGGAAATTGAGGCGAATGGTGTTAAATGCCTTGCCCAAAGTCACACAGCTAGTAAGTGTCTGAGGCTGGATTTGAATAAAAGAAAAGGAGTTTTCCTGACAGCAGGCCTGGCACTAATCCAGAGTGCTACCAACCATAGTCATATCTTAATACTCTGCTTAAAGGACATCATAGGATCATAGATTGAGAAAATGAATGGGCCTTCAGAGATAATTTTTTCCAAATCCTTCATTTTTCCAGATGAGGAAACCGAGAACCAGGGAGTTAAGTAGCTTCCTAAAGGTCATGCAAGTAGTAAGTAGCATATTTGGAATTTGAGTATCTGTCTTCTAATTCCAAGTCCAATGCTTTCCCCCCAACTCCCTCCTTAGCAAAATGATCATCCTGAGCTGCCCTAGGACTTTTTGGAGGTCTTATGATACACAGTATAGTCTGACTTTTACTTTGCTTATTTGAGTGTTTGTTTCTTCTGCTAGATTATAAACATCTTGAGGGCATGAACTAGGTCTTCATTTATTTATCTTTTGATCTTCATAGTGCCTTGTAGTAGGAACTCAGTAAACATGTGAATGAATGATTCCTTTGGGGTATGCTAAAGTGGTTAAGGTTTAGGTAAAAATTTGAAGACTTAGATTAGAAAATGAAATGAATGTATGGGATACATACATATATGTATACATATATACACATATACACATATATATATAAGAATGAAGGTATGTAAATTATTATTCAAAATTGTTAGAAGGACAATAATTGAAGCATCTTAAATTAAGATTAGCATGACTTGACATAAGAAGTGCTAGCTTTGGAGTTAGGAGATCTGAGCTTTTATCTGAGCTCTTTTACTTAACTGCATGTGTGAATTTCGGCAAGTCACACAATAATGTTGGCTGAATATTTATATATCATTTACATGTGCCAGGCATTTCACAAAGATGACTGTATCTCATTTTATCCTTACAATAACTCTGGGAGGTATGTGCTATTATTATCCCCAGTTTTCACTTGGGTAGATTGAGGCAGGCAGGTTAAATGACTTGCCCATAGTGTCAGAGGCTGGATGCGTAGTATCATTGACATGAATACCCCCTCTAACTCATCCTCATCTTATCCTTTAGGACTCTTATCCATGTCCCTCTGCAAACCTTTCACATGGGGTCTGGCCCATGTGCTTGGAGCTTTCCTCTTAAATCTCTTGATATTATTTGATGAAAGATTATTGGTTTAAAATGTTTATCAGTGTAGTATTAACTGTAAAGTTATGGTCAAAGTACATACCCCAATGTTCTTCTATAACCTGATTCTTTTATGTTCCAACACCTCTTCTAGCTTTCAAATCCTATAATTCTATGACTTTCCACCTGGCATATTTAAGATTTTAAAAATTTAAATTTAAAACATATATATTAGGTGCTTACTATGTGCAAAGACTATAGCTTCAAGAGGGCAGGTCTACTACACCTTGCTTAAATTTTTGGCATCTTTTTCCTTTAACACAGTATTCTGTATGCAGTTCTTGGGCTTAACAAATTTGTTGAATTTTATCAAATTTGCTAAAGATGGTTAAGTTATAGTGCCTGTTATAAAAGAGTTTATATGTCCTAATAGGAAAGATAAGACAGGTACAAATTAGAATGTAATTAGTGTGTAGGGCAAGTACCTTCAAAGTGTAATGAGAGGTTCGATAAAGGAGAAATCATTTTCTGCTGAGGGTGTCAGGGAAGGCCTTATGGAACTTGACTGGGCACCTAAGCTTGATCCTGGAGGAATTTCAGTGGAAATGGGGGAAAAGAAAAAGAAAGGTTAGGTGTATATTCTAGGTATGAAGGGTTGTATGAGCAAAAAGACAAGGGACATAAGTTCAGAGCCATTAAGTAGTGGTCCAATTTGGCTGAACAGAGAATGATTTGAAGGGGAGTGGTGAGAGATCAGGTTGGAAAGATAAGTCAGAGTCATTGTGAAGGGCTTTGAATACCAGATTAAAGTATTTGGATTTTATTGTTAAGCCAGGGGAATCCAAATTTTTTATTAGCTACACAATCCATAAGTGTGAAGGATTCACAAATTTAATATTTAGTTTCAATTATAACTTTTAATTAATTTAAGCCTACTAGCATGACATCTAGTGGTAATCAGTTGTACAATATTATCTGTTGACCAGTGGTCAAGCCTCAATTTTCAGGTGTGCTTACTTGCTAAATAATTAGGTGAACTTTTCCCTAAAAATCCCAAATGGGTTATACCTCAGGGTTAGGTAGGTCACAGTTGGCCTGTAGATTCTGTTTTGTATACTTGGGTAGTTAACAGTCTATATTTTTAAGGTTTTAAACCAACTCTAGAGGTTTTTGAGCAGGGATGTGACATTAGCCAGAGTTGTACATTGAGTATAGGTTAGTTTAGTGGACTCAATATTGAATATATTAGAAAGACCAGGTCCTGGAGGTAGGGAGGGAAGAGAATAAGCATTTATATAGCACCTACTGTGTGCCAAGCCTTGTGCTAAGCACTTTGCAAATATTGTCTCGTTTCATCCTCACAACAAACTTTCGAAGTAGGTGTTGTTATGATCCACATTTTATAGTTGAGGAAACTGAGGCAAACAGAAGTGAAGTGACTTGCCCAGGATCACACAGCTAGTAAGTATCTGAGTTCTGATTTGAACTCAGGTTTTCCTGCCACCAGTTAGCTATTAAACTATTAAACTAGTCCTCACAAAAGGTAATATTGGCTTGAACGATGGTGATGACCCTGGAAATGGAAAAGAGAAGGCAGATGGTAGAAACAACATTCAGAGAAGGTATAGGGTCTGACAGTTGGTTGGCTGAAGGAGGAGAAGAAGAAGACTGATGGCTGGAGCATGGGTGATAATGGTATTAACCATTAACAGAAACAGGGAAATTAGGAAGGGCAGGTTTGGGGGGAAAAGATAATGAGTTCTCTTGTAGACGTACAGTGTTTGATGTGCTTATGCAAGTAGTGATTTGTAGACATTTGGAATGATTTTCAGTGTACCTTATTTAGGAATAATTGTTCTATACTATTTCTGTAAGATTTGTGAATTGCTATAGATTTTTTCCCAGTCTTCATATGCTTTAATACCTATCATATGTATAATATACCTAGCACTTTTTTTTAAGGCAGTTGGGGTTAAGTGACTTGCTCAGGGTTACACAGCTAGTAAGTGTCAAGTGTTTGGTCTGAGGCCGGATTTGAACTCCTGACTTCAGGGCCGGTGCTCTGTCTAATTCATCACCTAGCTGTCCCATACCTAGCACTTTTCTAGGAGCTTTGGTGATTACCCCATCCTCCCCCCATAAGGCATGGTTCTGTGCCCCAGAGAATATTTATAATCTAGTTAGAGAAATGAGGAAACTAGGTGGCACAGAGGATAGAGTGCTGGGCCTGAAGTCAGGAAGACTCTTCTTCCCGAGTTCAAATCCAGCCTCAGACACAACTAGCTGTGTGACCCTGGGCAAGTCACTTCACCCTGTTTGCCTCAGTTTCCTCATCTGTAAAATGAACTGGAGAAGGAAATGGCAAACTACTCCATTATCTTTGCCAAGAAAACCCCAAATGGGGTCACAAAGAGACTTAGCTGAAATGATTGAACAACAAAATAACATTTGGAGAAATAAGATTAATACAGGGCAGTTCATTAAATGCTGTATTTTAATGATGGCTTTCATTTGATGGAAACAAGAATTTAAAACATGTTAAAAATCCAAAGGAAAGAATTCTGATATTTTCCCACTTATTCAGCTTTACACTGTCACCACCCTCTCTTTGATTCTAAGCTAAAGAAGGCAGTGAGGTCCTGTGGAAAGAGCACTGACTTTGGAGTAAGAGGTCTGGGTTCAGATTCTCTCTCCGATCTCTACTGTTAGGATCTTGGGCAGGTCACTTAACTTCCCTGGGCCTGTTTCCTTATTTGTAAAATAGATGGCCTTTGAAAATACTTTCTAGCTCTAGATATATGAAATCTAAACACTTGAAAATACTTTCTAAAATTAGATTTTTGTTTACGTATCTTGTCATGCTGTAGTCAAGTAAACAAGAAGTTATTAAGTGCTGAAGAAAGAAATACATTTATTTTGCATTAGGCTTAGCTTAAACTTTAACCATAATGTTTTGTTCTGGTGGAACATTTAAGACTTAGCAACAGTCTCAACAGTTTTTTCAATATTTTTCTGCTTGGGGCATAGGTTCAGGTGATGCTTCTCCAGATGAAGGGCTAATAGAAGACTTGACTGTTGAAAATAAAGCTCTGGAGCAACTAGCACAAGGATTACTTTCTCATTATTTACCAGACTTGGAGAGATCAAAGCAAGCCCTACAGGAACTCACGTAAGCAAACCAGAAATTGTTATGAGCTCATTTCTTCATCAAGGGACCATGCTTTATTTACCAAGAACACAGGAATGAAAATCAGGAGATTTGGGTTTGGTACCACTTTTATCTCTGAATCTGTTTCCTCATCTGTAAAATGGGGATAATACCTCTCTTGTTTGCTTCATAAAATTATTGTGAAAATCAGATAACATGTGAAAATGCTTTGTAAATTGTAAAGTGTTATTTTGCCTCTACAGTTCTGTCTAGCTTATAATAACATGGCTGCTTTTGATGTAATCTTTAGGATGTATTTTATAACTTTTAGTTTTGATTATTTCTAATAATTTAACAAGTAGAAGTGGTAATAGCGGAGTACTTTGTAACTTAACTGCAAGAAATTAATGTATTTAGGCTTTTTTTCTTCGTGTTTTGGGCAGTTGTCTCTAAAACACAGGTAGAACCTGGAATTAATTGTAGTTGTCATTATCTTATGAAATAATCAATTTGCTTATCTAATAGTAATTTTTGCATATGCATTTGTTTTAGAATAGAATTAAAGAAAATGCCCCATAACACCTTTACTTGAGAAGACAGGTATTTCTAACAATTCAATAAATTGTGGTTGTTGTTGAGTCATTTCAGTAGTGTCCTACTCTTCCATGACCCCATCTGGGGTGTTCTTGGCAAAGATACTGGAGTGGTTTGCCATTTCCTTCTCCAGCCTATTTTACAGATGAGCAACTGGCAAATAGGGTTAAGTGACTTACTTACCCAGGGTCTCTCAGCTAGGGTCTGCACCACCTACCTGCCCAGATTCAATAAATATCTTGCTTTTAAAAAAAAAAAAAAAGAGAGATGAGAGAGTGTGGGCATTATCTAGACACATATGGCTGAGGACAATAACTCTCACACAGAAATCAGACTTAGTCACTGTTTCTTCAGGGGGATAAAAACAGAGCCTGAAGCCTCTCTACTCCCTGTTTTTCAGAGTGAGAAGTTAAATATATCAGACTGCTGCAAGCCAATGATTTACACTGAAACTCAGTTCAGAAGTGGCAGTTTATCATTGGGCAGAATCGACACCACCTATTCATGTAATTCCATTAACCAGTATTTTTGTAGGCGTTATACTTGAATACTGATCAACTATGAGTCAATAAGGAGCAAAACTTAATAAAGTAGGACTTTTTATGACTAAATATTACAGTTAACAAACTAGTGAATCTAGTTCCCCAGTAACACAGAGTGTGGTTTTGATCCTCTAATAATGGTTTTTAATAGAATTTTGGAGTTAGATATCCTTAGGTGATTAGTTCATCATATGGAATGTGGGTGTGGGAGGAGAGTATGTGTTGGCCAGAGGGGCCTGGCTGTTGTGATTTTTTTTTTGTGTGTGTGTGCAAAGTCAAAGAAAATGCTTTTTGTGATTCTAAGTAGTCCTTGTATTTCAGTAAGGGCTAGCAATGTTTATTTTCAGGTCACAGACTTAAAGGAACCCAGAATGTGTTTGAATTTGGAAAGAATAATGAAAAGATGTCTTTGTATTGTTGAAAGTGGATATATATGTTTGTAGCATTTTTGTTGTGTCTGAGGGTTCTTTGTTAACCTTCTCTAATGCTTATAATGTTTATAATAACCTCACTTTTTTTTCTGGGCACCCAAAGTACTCTTTAAGCAGACAAACCATGTAATTTGCTGAATAAGTTACTTTGTTTCTTGAGAGTTAAGGAGCAGTATAGAGAATGCTGTACTTAAGATTTTCTGTCTCTTCATGGATTTCATTACTGATAATTGTGATGTAGAAAGAGCACTGGATTAGAAATTGGAGGTTTGGGGATTTAATCTTTGCCTTGCTACTCACTGTGTGAGTTTGCACAGGTCAGCGAAACCTTTTGGGCCTCAGTTCCTTCGTGTATGGAATGAATCCAAACTTCTTTCATCTTTACAATTCTGTGATACTGAGTAGCCCTTGTGGCTTGGTGGAGGCTGCAAATCTATTTGTTTTGTACCTCACAAAGGGTAAAGGATCGGAGAAAAAAATGTGAGCATATTAGGACTTAGCAGAACCCTATTTGCTTACAGGCATTTATAATGCTCAGCCTTATGTCTTCATTCTTGGAGGGGACATCAGTTACCACTTCTCGAAGCAGGTTATTCAGTGTGACTCGTGTTGAAGAACCTAGTTATGGCATATTTAAAATGAAAACTTAAAGATTGATTCTTACCATCTTAATGATTCTATAATTTTTCACTATGAACTTTATTGATGGCTTAGGCAGTTTCACTGTTAATTTATGGTCAGCCACAATAATTTTTTAAAATAATATTTTATTTTTTCCCCAGTTACACGTAAAGACAACTTTTACATTCATTCTTTTTTAAAATTTTGAGTTTCAGATTTTTTCTTTTCCTCCCTCACCTTCTCCTCCCTAAGAAGTAAGCAATTTTATATAGATTATACATGTTCAATCATGCAAAACATATTGCTATATATAATAATTAAAAAAAAACCCAAAAGTACTATATTACTTTAATCTTGTTTTTTAATTTCATAAATTATTGATTTCTGTCTAAAGGGTTTTTTTTTTGAAATTTGTAGGGCAAGATATTGTGGCTTTGAAGATTGCTCTTCTAATTGTTTCTCACAATCATTGTAGTAACTCAGGCTGCCTGAGTAAGCCATCTTATTGGGTTGTGCCACATCCCCCCCTGGGTTCTGAACAGGTTTTTCCTCTTCCGAGGTCAGTAAGTGGAGCAGATTGTAGGGGATCAGGTGAGCTTCTGGACTGTTGTGATATGCTGGCTATATAGGAGAACAGACAATTTGTAAACCTCTGTTCAATCTCATCTTTTCCGTTTCTCTTTTTCCACATTGTCTTATATTTAATACAGGTTTATAAGTAAGCAGCCTATTAATGATCAGGTGGCTAATCAGATTGAATGAGTGTCTTGTAGGTGCCTCCCTTGATCTCTTGGCTCAGGGTGAGAGACCCCTGGAGATAAGCACAGTAGTATATTGAGTGTTATTCCAATTACTGGAGGCTTCTTTGCTCCTGCTTTTTGTTTCTTTGACACATTTTTCGACACATTTAGCACCTTTATTTGGTGAAAGGAAGGGAGAAAAATGGAATGACTGAAGCATATCACCCGGGGAGGTTTTGTACTCTTTGTTGCTGAAAATTTTAAAGACTATGTTGCATAACCCGATGACCTCAGGGCCCTTGGCTTTTTATGATATTTGACCCAGGTTGCAAAGTATAGTGAGGTCAAGTGAAAGGGAGTTTGGACACTGATTTGCTTGTTTTACCAGATAGATTTAGAATCACCATATTTGAGAGATCTCAGAGGCTTAGAGATATTGTCTGGTCTGATTCTTCCCTTTGCCCCCCCCTTTTCTTTTTTAATAGTTAAGGAAACTGAAGGCCCAAGAAGGTAAGTGATTTATTCAGGGTCACTTGGCTGAGCAGTGGTAGAATCAAGAGCTCTTGGTTCCTTGTCGAGGGCTTTTGCCACTCTACCAGATTGCTTCTCTTCTGTGACTTTTAGCTTTAACCTCTTCCAATACCATAAATTTTCTGCACTTAAAGTAGGAAATTTCCCTATATTTGCCTTCACAGGATGTTGTAGTAAAATAGGAGATTTCCCTATATTTGCCTTCACAGGATGTTGTATTAACAGAAATGTGTAAAGCACTTAGATTAGAATCTTGAGGAAGAAGGCTCAAAAATGCATTTTCTTTTTGATTCTGCGTTGATAGAGAGAAGGTAATGATGCATTAACTTTAAATGATTAAATTGACTTTAATGGTGTCTGAAAGCTGGAGTTTGGCCAGAATAAGGGGGCAGTTTACTATCAACTGCTTTCTGTTATTTTGTAAAAGATTTTACTGACAAAATAAACCTGGAAAAGATTAGATTCTCTCTAGACTTGTTCTCATACTCTTCCAGCTTAATTTCAAGCTCATAGTAATAATCAGCATTGAAGTGTTAAATTGAGATATAGAATTTTAGGTGGTTTTATTTCAGTTCAGGATGTGTAAACCTCATCTCCACTATTTGCTTTTGTTTCAGACAGAACCAAGTGGTATTACTAGATACATTAGAGCAAGAGATTTCAAAATTCAAAGAATGTCATTCTATTTTGGATATTAATGCTCTGGTAAGTCTGTTCTAGTGTATGTGTTTTAATAATGTTACATTTTAATGTTAGCTGAATTAATTTCTCCACTGTAATATTGTTTAGATGCAGTCTCCAAATTTTTCTCTACTTTTTAAAAAATCAGAAATGGAATTTTAACAAAAATGAGAATGTAACTAGGTTTTTTTATCTGACAAAGAAACTTTCAAAATATTAACTGTCAGAGATGATAGTTTCTTTGGTAACTTAAAAGCAGATCTTTATAACAGTTAGTGCCACCTGAGGAGGCAGTGAGTTCCTCTTGGAGGTATTCAAAGAAAACTGAATTATTTCCCTGATGAATGTGTCATACGTAGTGTGAGTGTATTTCCAGTACAGGGTTGGACTAGATAGATCTTGAGGTCTCTTCAAACTGAAATTCTAAGATTCTGTGAATAACAACTTTCGTTTGCTTACTCTCTACATACATATAAAAGAGAACTTGGGGGAATTTGGGGAGAGAGCATCTGGTTAGCCACCTTTTCTCTACCTCAGAAGGAAGGACCATATATAGGGTGTCCCAGAAGTCTTAGTGCCTATTTAAGTTTTAATAGCTTCAGTACCTTAAAATTGCACTAAGGCTTTTGGGACACCCTGTATAAAATCTACTGTTGGTTATATTTTTCAATACAAGCAATCAGAGTCAAACTTTACACCAAAAGAAGTATATAGTTCTTTGGTAAGAGGAGCTATAATTATATTTCTGGGAAGCTTCAGTAAACCTAACCATCCATTCATATATGAAGACCATATAAAAGAGAACTTAAAAATAAGGAACCTGTGTCTGCCTTTTTGCCACGCCTAGAAAAAAGTCCCATGAAGATTTGAGGGCAATCCATGAAAGAAGGTATAAAATAATAGTGATAACACATTCTTGAATCTTAATGGATTTTTTAAAAGCGAATTTGGGACTAGAAAATTATACCTTTGGACTGATTAAAATAAAGTATAACATCATGATGCCATAGGTTATTGGAGGCTAGGAAACAAGATTCCAACTCAGGTTCATTTAATACTTAACTATGACTTCGGATAAATCACTAATATTCTCTGGGCCATAGTTTCCTCTTTTGATAAATGAAGGGTTGAACTAAGTGGTTTTTCGGAACCCTTCCAGCTCAAAAATTTCAATACACAGTATACACAATTTACATAATGTACAGTATACAATGTAGTAGACTTTCATAGAAGAAAAGAAGAGGGACTAGTCAACTGTCATTAAGAACAACAGTTTCAGGAATTCAAGAAGAGGAATAAGTGAGAGCACCCCTTGTAGAGGCTCCTTCCTGGGTGGGTGGGTGGGGGGGGTTCCAATATTTTCGTTACCTTCTAACTGTAAAAATTTCTGATTCTGTTATTTAAAGCCATTATCTATCTGATACCAGCCCACCTTCTCAGACTTAATTTGTTTTGCTCTCCCTTTATGTACTCTGTGTTCCAGCCAAATTGGCTTACTAGCTGTTCCCCACGTTGGCATCCCATCTCTGCACCTTCATGCTGGGCAGCCTCCCTGTGTGTACATTTCTTTATCTCTGCCTCTTAGAGTCCTTAGCTTCCTCGAAGGCTCAGCTGAGCTGGAGTGCTACCTCCTACTTATTGTTAATGCTTTCTCAAATTCCCTTTTATTTAGTTATTTATGTACTTGTGTTTTCCTTATTTCCCACTCCCCAGATAAACACTTAGAATGAAAAGTTCTTGAAGAACGAGGATTGTTTTGTGTCCGGATCAGTGCTTTGTACCTAGTGGGTGTTTAATAAATGTTTTCTTAACTGAATTTTCACTTAAATTGGTTAATTTAACTAATGGAGTAGGCCTCTCGGCACTTCCCACCTCCCAATTTGTTTTGAATATTTCTAAAGATATTTTACTTTTTGAAATATATTTACATGTGCTTGTTGTATTGAACAGTTGTATTCAATAGACATTTGGTGTATAGTAGGACAAGCCAGGAAGTTTTATATCCCCTCCTAAATGCAAACAGTAGATGTAGTTAAGTGGCAGATAGAATATAGTGGACCTAAAGGAATAGGAGGGAAGTCGTTCTCTTTTAGATCTTTTTGTTCAGTGGTTCATGTTACAGCCTTCCATACAACCTTTGACGAGAAACATGAAAGACCTTTGGCACTCAGCTAAGAACTGAAAGCTAGAGGGCTGAGTTCTGTTTCTCTGCACACAGAATTACAGTATGTCACTAGTTCACGTGGCCTGAAGAAGAATCTCTTTCACAGTATCCCCAAGAAGTGGTCCACTTCTGAGAGCTCTCAGTGTTAGAAGTTTTTCTGTACATCTGTATCTTTTTGTAACATTGTCCCTTTGTGCTCCTGATTCTGTCCTCCAGGGCCAAGTAGAGCAGATGTCATTCTTCTACATGGCAGCCCTTTAAATACTTGAAGATAGCCATCATGTCCCAAACTTCCTCAATTCTAGAGCAGTCCTTGGGGCATGATCTTGAGCCTCTTCGTTGTCCTGCAAGCTTTTCCCTCCCACTTACCATAGTTTTTCTAAAACGTGTCATCCAGAGCAGAACATTTGTTCCAGTTGTGGTCTCACCAGGGCAGATTATATTGGGACTGTCGCTTCTTTTGTTCTTAATATCATGCCTTTCTTAACATAACCTACGATTGCTTTAGCCTTTTTGGCCACCATATCAGTTTGTGCACTGTGGACTCTAATGTATTCAACTTGCAGTTCACTAGACCCTATTAAGTGTTTTCCAAATGAGTTGTTATCTAGCCAAGCCCTTCCTGCTTAGTAATGTGAATTTTATTTTTTTTTAAAATCAAGTAAATATAAGTCTCCACATTTAGATTTTAATTTCATTTGATTAGATTCAAACCATTGTTTTAGCTTATCGAAATATTTTTGCTCTTGACATTGTGTGTTTGCTATCCCTCCTAATGTTTCACTTGCAGTTTTGATAATCATGCTGTCTCTGCAGTATTGTGTTCTCGAAATAGTGTTGGAGTCAGAAATCCTTCTCCTCTTTCCTCTGTGTTCTATCTATATGACACCTTAGGCAAAGCACTTAACCCTTTTGGGCCTCAGTTTTCTCATCTGGACAATAAATGGGTTGGACTGGAGGACCTCTGAAGTCCCTTTAAGCTTTAAATCTGTGATTCTATTCCATTATCCAAATCATGGATTAAAATCTTAAATAATACAAGCCTCTCTCCATCTCTGGGGCACTCCACCAGAGAAAGCTCTTTCCCAGTCTACATTGAGCCATTAATGTCAGCTCTGGGTGCAGACACACATGTAGACGAAGAACATTAAACCAATAATTACTGAGGTCTGATTTGGATACAAGATTAGAAGGTTAAGATTGCCATTTCTGACTCTTGTTAGTTTGGACTATTTTCTTGACTACTAATTCTTTCCTTTTCTTCTTTATCCTTCATCCTTTCTGAGGGAGAATTGTGTTTTTTTTCAACCACTCAGATCTACATTACTTCCTGTTCTCCTCTAACTTGGGATCCTGCTTTTTAGGAAATCCAGCCATCCTAAGATACTGGAGGCTATCCAAGAAGAAGCCTTTTCATGGGCATACTCAGCTCCTTGGTTATACCTCAGGAATAAGATTGGCAGAGGTAGAAAGGGCCTAGTCTTATTCCAAACTCGTGTTTCTTGGGTTATTGAAGAGTGGTCCATAAGACCCAGGCAGCATTGTTCTAGGTTCAGAACTTAGTTCTTCTTGTCAGGCACTTAGATTAACCTTTGAGGCTCTTGACTTAAACAGCTAGTGCAGTGTAAGCATGGATTTAAAAAGCTTTTAACTCCTTCTGAAGCTAACTAGTAGCAACTGAGTGGTCTTATTGCAACTTTAGGCCCGTATAGGATACCTATTTGTCCAGTGACTAATTGTATTGCAGATTTTTGATAAAGAAATGTTGTCTTTCCATTATATAGTAGGTATTATCTTTATGTACCAACGTCATCACTTTTCTCCCTCCTCCCACCAATGGTTTTTAAAGTATTACATGTGGATTTTAAGTATAATTTGTAGAGAATAATTAAAATATGAAGATAATGGATCATAAAGCTGGTCAAATTTAGGAAGAATTGTTAAGGGTTTGGACCATAAATCTGTTTGGCTATTCCAGTGAACTTTTAACTTGAATCGTAATTTAGTTTTTCCTGTTTTAAGTTTACAGAAGCTAAATACTATCACACCAAGTTAGTGAATATAAGAAAAGAGATGCTGATGCTTCATGAAAAGACATCAAAGTTGAAAGTGAGTTGAATAACATTTAAATAATATTTTAATTAATAGAGAGGTTTAATGCTTTGTTTTCCTTTTTTGTTGATGTCTGCTAGTAATGAGCTTTTAGACACTTAATGATCCTTTTTTTACATTTACATTTTGAATGAACTGAAAGTGTTATTTTTATTTATGTAATGTCACATAAAATTTATTGATGCTATATTAATGTATTTTTTAAAGTAATAAACCCTTTAGGTGTGAATTACTAGATATGTACACTAATAGTAATATTGATGGATTTTGGAAGAGATTTTGTTCTCTGATTATGAAACTTCTAAGTACTCCATTTAATTGAGATAGTGAAAGTAGCAATTCCATTGGGATAGAGAATCTTTATAAGATAGGCTATTGGAATTTATTTAAGATTACATGAAACAACTGAATTTATGTAGAAAATGAAGTCTAAATGTGGAGAAACAACATGGTATGGAGACTTCCCTATCTTGGTATCAGGAAGACCTGTTAATACCATTGGATTCCCTCTCTGACACATACTGTCTTGGTAACCCTGAACAGGTTTCTCAGTGTCCAAGATGATTGGGTTTCAGAGCAGGTGCTGACTTTTCATTAGGGGTTTCTTACCCAGATGAAATCAAAGGTCTAGACTCATCTCTTCCCGGCCCCCCCCCCCAAAAAAAAGCCAGCCTCATAATAATTTATTGCTATGGCTGTTTAGTGAGGTATATAAACCTTGGTGCTTGGTATAGTTCCTTGATTTTGTTTCTTTTCTGACTTAGAAAAGAGCACTTAAGCTCCAGCAAAAGAGACAGAAAGAAGAGTTGGAACGGGAACAGCAACGAGAAAAAGAATTTGAAAGAGAGAAACAGTTAACTGCTAAACCAGCTAAAAGGACATAAAAAACAATCAGCAGTCATCTTGTTGATGTACATATGTTTATTTTTATATGTATATATGTATAGAGTGTGTACATACTTTTTTTTTTCTTTCCTCTATTCCCTATTCTTTGGATTTAAGAGAGCTTGATTGGTAGGGTCAGTTTGATGTAGTGCCTTATGCCATCGTTCAGAATTCTAACGTGCTTTGCACTCATTGAATTGCCATGTTTTCATTCTAGCCATTTAGGATGCTTTGTTTTTCACTGGTTATCAAAATGTGAATTTATTTTAATTTTATATGATATTTAAATTTTTTTTTAACTTAGCTCTTCTTATACTTTTAAAAATCAACTGGATTTTTGCCTTGATACATCTAATGATGAATGGTTTCATTTCATTCATTTGACACATATTAAAAGCACTTATTTTATACAGTGCCCTTAGGGTTGAAAGAATAGTCACGGTCCTGTTACTGAACATGTACAAAATTTTAAATTTGTTTCTTGCTTATTGGAATGCCTTGCTCTTTTTTTGAGCCATATAATGACGACTTTTGATTTTCTGTCCCGTGATCAAATTGAGAAGGCCTCTTCCATTGCTTTTGTTAAGAAAGAACTCTAGGGATGTTACCACGCCAGCTGCCTAACAATACATGCCATTGACATGAAGTGCATTGTATAAAACCTACATTAGTGTAGGTTTTCATGGGAATTTTCATGGGAAAATTTGACACAGTAAATAATGGCATAGTGTTAGTGGCATCTTTGACATAGGAAAATAAGCAAAAGAGAAAATTGTTTTTATAGAATGGAGACCACATAGTTTTTCTTTTCCCACCATTTTTAGACCTTATATCCTTAATGACATCAACATCTTAATGTGCTTTAAATTGGAATACTTGTTCTGTAAGCTGGTATTATAGGGCTTATATACATCCATTTTGTTTTGTCAGGACATAAAATAGTGTAATTTTCCAAAGGCTCTGAAGGCTATGCCCATTGGCCCTTCTTTACTTGAACATATTTCGTAATGATTTTCAAGCACTGAAATGATAATCAAGTAGATAGGGTTATTTAAGTCCCATTTCTTCATTTGCCAGTGTGGTCTCTAGCTCTGTCTTGTGATTTCCTGTGTCTCGTTAGTGGTTACCTTATCATTCCATACTTTGCTTCATTTATAAAATGAAAATAATATGTTGCCTACCCATTTTATAGTGATATTAATGGATCAGAGAAGGTTGATAAAGAAAGTACTTTGAGACCTTTTAAGAAAGACACACACCATTGTGAAACTTAGTTTTTTTCAAAAATTTTTAAAATACATGCAGGAAGGTATTATGTGGGGGAAATTATAGTTTCACTCTCTAAAATCCAGTGTGCATATCCCTCTTTTAATGTTAAGGGGTATTTAACAATTGTCTAATCTCTATCATATAGAGAATAAGCAGAAAACTAGGAGGGTATATGATTAGAATGTATATCTTTTCTAATTCACATTACAATTTGCAGATATCTTTTTATTAAACTAGAATCTACCTCTGATCACATATCAGGCTAATACAGAAGGATAGGAAAATATTTGATTTTGGAAGAATACAAAGAAATAGGTCCATTAATACACTTTTATTATTTTTCATCTCAAGTGAATGACTAATCACAGTACACACCTACCTGACTTTGACTTTAGACTTATGAATGTTAGTTTCACATGGCCAAATGTTGAGATCTATACACTGAAATTGTCTGGGCAGGGTTTGGATAAATTAAAAATTCAAACAATATCACATAAATTTCTGTGTGTAATTTGGTTTAATTTGGTAGAGTTGATGGAGTTGGTAGAGTCTAAGTTATTGAGCTAGTTTAAAATTATGTGTCCCATTGTTGTGTGATCAGTTCTATCACCTGACTAATTTTTTTTTTTTTAAAGAAAGGCTTTAAGACTGAGCCCTTGGGGGCACAGAGGATAGAGCACTAGTCCTGGGAGTCAGGAGGACCTGAGTTCAAATCTGGCCTCAGACACTTGACACTTAACTAGCTGTGTGACCCTGGGCAAGTCAACCCCATTACCTAGCAAAAACCTCCCCAAAAAACCAAGGAAAAAAAGACTGAACCCTTAACAGGTAGTAAATATCTTGAGAATTCTGGGATACATGAGTTAATTCATTTAATTAGCAATATTAAAATAGATGATGAGTTATACATATGGCGAGGTACTTAACGGCCTAATTTTTTGCATTTTAATAACTTAAAAGTAGCAAGTTGAAAAGCTGATATATAAGTAACCAACCATTTTTAGGTTAGGTTGTAAATTAAAAAAATTCAGTTATTTAGTAATTAAAACATAGCTTACAGATTTAGCTTTTTCAAAATTTTATATAGCTCTTGAAGTGTATATAAGAATATAAGTGTATAAGAAATTGAAAGTTACTAACAGAAATTCATTTGGTACTGTATTGAGCACAAAACCAATAAAGAAGCAATGAATGGCTTGGTCCTTAGGATCTTTCCATATTCTACTTTAAAAAGAAATCACTGCCTTTATTTTGAAACTATATTATGTATGTATTGAGGATTATTTTGCTTTAACTTGTGCAATTTTAAAAATATTGACTTTGTAGCTGGTCTCATTTAGTTTATACGGACATTGAATGTAATTCAAATTGTGCAGGTACTGAGATTTTTCTGGTAAATGTTGTCAAAAGTTATTCTAGGTGTACTGTATATTCCTTCATACATTAGTCTGGTTTTTGAGCTTGTAAAACAAGGAATATTTTTTACATGTTTAATAAAAAGTGGCTTATGATGAAATTTTATGATGTACTATTTGTTAAGTACACTTTGACCCAGCAGTTCTGACAAACTATAGTTGCTCAGACATTATCTAATTCTCATGTCCATACCACTCCCTGCTTTTCTCCCCTTACTTAGCTTTTTCCGTTCCTCAGTCTTTTAAGTATATACAAGTTTTACATAACTATTCACAAGTTATTTTTCAAGAGGGTCATAGGGTATTCTGTGAAACAAAATGATTTTGGTTCCACCAAAAGGTTCTGCAGTGTTTGGGGACTTTTACTTACGTTAAGAATAGCTGCTGCATGGCCTAAAACCCTGACCAAGGAACCACTTGAGTGAAGTCTTGGAGTTGTGGTAACAATGATGGATTCTTACCTTGTTCTGCACAACTTGATGGCAAATATAATCAGTCTGATGAATTTGTGATATGTTACCCATCACCTCAGACCATAAATATATCCACAGTATATTTCAGGAAGCCTGTTTAGAACAGGCTTGTTCTTGGGTTCAGGAACCCAAGTTCAGAAATGTAGCAAAGGCTGGAATTGATTGAACACACATGTATAGGGGTTCACCATAATCCTAGACATGAATTTTACCAGCCAATGGGAAGAGATATGCAAATGATCAGCAGTGATGAGGTAAGCTTTTGGTATCATAATCAAATATTTATTGAGCTGCTGGTATGTCCAAGACACTGTGCTATATATATAGTCTTGGGGGTGGGGGGAATACAAAAAGTATAAGATGATATAAGAACTGGAGGTTCCTGTTCTCCCCAAACTTAAATCTATTTGAGGAGACTTGAAATGTATATGTGAAAAAATAACTACGATGTAAGTACCAAATGAGTGGTATTATAATTATAAAAGTTACAATTCTATGTGTTAATTTGGACATGTCTTAGGAAATGCTATTATGGTCAGATCAGTGCTCCCAGGCCACCTCTGCCCTATCACTTTAGCAAGTGGCAAAATGAGCCCTTTGTGTTATTTTTTGTAACCTTTTGTGTTATTTTTTGGTGTGATAGCATTTTCTGAGATCCAGGGACTAAAACAGATCCTAATGGCTCTGAAGGAACTACTCTCCAACTGAGATCAAGAATGCTGGATTTGAGTTAGAAGCCATATGTGCAATTTACATTATAATGTCCATCAACTTTAGGCAAAATAAATAGCTTAACAGCGATGCTGATGGGATGGGGAGGCCATGGAGCAATCCCAATAGGTCACTTTTGGAGACTTTTGAATATGGGATGGCAGTAGGAACGACTCTATCCTTCAATCCAGTGCTTGGGAATAGGCTCATTACAAACTATGTAAATACGGTATGACAGTGGCTTATCAGACTTATAATAGGTGACTTTTGCTACCATCTGCTGACTATCTAGTATCTCTGCTGTACTTGTTATATTTGTAATTTGTAGTTTGTTCTATTAGAACTGGGCACAGTGGCATTTTCATCATTCAGCAGATTTTCTTTGTGGTCTGAACTTTAAAAACAACCCCCCAACCCACATCTTGTTTGGAATTATTTATCTTGAAGAGTATGGAAAAGTTTTTACCTTTTTTTTTTCTTTTTTTTGGCTAGGCAATAGGGTTAAGTGACTTGCCCAGGGTCACGTAGGGGAAAGGTTTTTAAAGCAATCTCATGTCTGAATTTGAACTTTTCTGTTTGATGTGCTAGAATTGAAGTTCTTTTCATAAGCTTTCTTGTTAGCTGTCAATTCATTCCTCTAGTATTAATAAAATCTTCCCCTATACTTGGGCTACTTTTAATCTACCTTCTTCACGGCTATCTTGAACTGCCCCAAATGGGCAGTTGACTAGAACTGAACGGTTGACTCTCTAGAAATGACTGGAGTAAAAATATCCCAGAACTTACCAATGACTTGACTTGCCCTCAGGCCTGGTTTTACTTGGAGATGTATACTTAGCTTTGTTCCAAGTCTCAGTTATTGTTAGGTCACTAGTTCCAAAGTCACATCCATTTCTAGACTTGCCCCATACCTGATCTCCAGGGTTGAGCCACCATCATAATCTACTTCTCCATCCTGGACTGTGACTTTCAAATAATAGGTTATGATACTTCTCTGATATAGCACTCTGTATGCACTGTAACCAGAGCCAGACAGGGACTCTGTCCCTTCCTCAATGTGGTTCCTGCAAATTCTTTTTGCAGGGAGCTGAAATCAAGTAAGCCTAGCTATTTTATTATGAGAGGTTTTAATTTTAGCCAAGAGGCTTGATTGTCATTTCAGAAAATGACAAAATTCCAAACTCAGTTTTTGGTGTTGATTTCTAGAGATCTCCCTTACTTTTGCCTGGGATTGTAAACCAAAGAGCGAGTATAATAATGATGCTGATAGCTATCATTATATAGTGCTTTTTATGCTACAAATGCAATTTACACACATCTGGTCCTCACAACAACCCTACTAGGCAGATTTGGACCAGCCAAATCCCTATACTGATTGATATGAAGAGCTCATGTTGAGAAACTTAACTAGCAGAGCAGATCAGCACCTCATCTACAAATTGAAGCCTTGTAGAATTGTATGGGTCACTGAGAGGTTAAGAGACTGCTGCCCAGTGCCACATAGTCAGTATATGACAAAGGCAGGATTTGAATTCTGGTCTTCCTGGCTTGGAGGCTAGTTTTGTTTTTCTTTTTGAGGCAATCTGGGTTAAGTGACTTGCCCAGGGTCACACAACTATTAAGTGTCTGAAGCTGGATTTGAACTCAGTGCTCTATCCACTTTGCCACCTAGCTGCCCCCCTGAGACTAGTTTCCTATCCACTACGCCATACTAGATGATACAAGCAGCATCCTTAATTTACAGAGGAGGTAACTGATTTAAAATGTCATGACAAAGTCATCCAGCCATTGAGTGGCAGAGGGGATTGAACCTAGTTCTTCCAAATCCACTAATCTTATCAATCAACCATTCTGGGAGCCATAACGGTTACCTTTGAGCCTTAGAGACTGATCATCGTAACTTTTCCCCTCTAGTCTTCACTAGATTTTTTTCAAGGGGATGTTAGCACAGTTGTGGTGCTTTAAGAACCAGAGAATCATTAAACTCATTTTGCTAGAATACAGAGGAAGCCATACTATGTTGGGCTGTTTCATCAAAAAAAGAACAGTTTTATGTACTATCAGACATTAAAGATATTAATGAAGATGACTAATTACATAGCATAATATGCCGACATCATAAAGGGCTAAGTTATGCAATACAGACTATTGGAGAATAGGATCGCATACAAACGTTGTATTTTCAGATAAAAAGAGCCAAGTAGATTTTAATGTTGTACTGCCATCTAGCGCCGTTGTGTGGTACCTCTCTGAGGCTCTAATTTAGAGTATGCTCCTCGTCTTCTTCTCTTCATGACCTTTAAAAATACAGTGGATAGGCCACTTCGCCACCTAGCTGTCCCTAAGAGCTAGGATTTGAACTCATGTTCTCTTCAAATCCAAGGCCCATAGATGAGAGGTGGGGAAGGGAAAATCTTAGGACTAAGGTTTCAAAACATTTGAAATCATAATACAATTTGATCACTGTATTTTTAAAAATTAGTCTAGTGTTTCCCAGAACTATCAAAACCAAATAGCATTCTGAAAATAGAAGTGTCCAATAAAGAGAAATTTAAAATTCAACTCACCCAAGGACAACATCGATTTCAAAACCAAAGATTAGGAAAAAAATTAATCAAGCTGCCAGAATTAGAGGCTGATTTTGCAACCCCAACTCTGTTGTATTTATTTCAGTTATGCTAGGAATCATTCGTGACAGGTCAGACTAACCCAGAGGGCGACTCTGAGATTTGCTCTGAACGTAGCCTGTAGGGTGACGTATACTTTTTGAACTATTGGACTGTGGAGGATGGGAAGAGAAGAGGAGAAGAGAGGAGCAGTGGTTGCTGTCCCTGGAAGTCCTTCCTAGTAGCCTGATATTGGAGAAACTGTAGCTTTGTGGAGGTAGCTGAAGTCTGCTCGCAAGATCCTTTACTGGGTAAAACTCTTAAGCCAATAAGCATTTACAGTTATCCCTTACACGTTGTGACTTTCCCCATCGAGGTTGCAATATGTTGTGGGTCGGCATAAGAAATTAAATGGGGATTCTTGGGGAGTTTTACGGAATTTGCAGATGACATGAGCAGGCTAGCAGACGACACAGAAAAAGTTCTTTTTCATATAGTAATTTTTATTTAACATTGACCTATGACCAAATACT